TAAAAAGAAAAGGGTTTGTATTCATTTGGAATTTAGGACCCCCTTATATATAAAAAGTATTTAATAAAATATTGAATTTGGCCTTCACTACCAAGTCTCATAGAAACATTGAATAACACGTTAATAAATGTCCATAAAAAACAGCCAAACAATAAATCATAAGGACCAAGGTTTTGGTGTATCGGTCTTAAATCTAAGAGATGTAAGAAATCTCACATTTACATTTACGTCATTTAGCAGACGCTCTTATCCAGAGCGACTTACAGGAGCAATTAGGGTTAAGTGCCTTGCTCAAGGGCACATCGACAGATTTTTCACCTAGTCGGCTCGGGGATTAGAACCAGCGACCTTTCGGTTACTGGCACAACACTCTTAACCACTAAGCTACCTGCCGCCTCACGAAATGTTTTAGTTTTGTTTTACACATTTAACCCCTTTTTGGGGGGGGAACAAAAACGACCTCCATACTTCCATTCATTGTCTACCTTCAGAAGAGTCCTGAGACCAAAACAGAGATCACCATCTTGTTTTGTGAGAGTCTCATAGAGTGGTCATATCAGTCTGGAGGCCAAACCGGTTTGACGTAACAGACGTTTCGTCACGAGAAGACCGATTTTCTGGATGTCTCATGGTCTGACAAACACAGCTGTAGCGCTGCCACCTTCCACTGCAGATGCGGAAGGCCGACATTTTACATTTTTCATACTGGCCCCCCCCCCCCGTGGGAAAGCGAACCCACAACCCTGCCGTTGCAAGCGCCATGCTCTACCAACTGAGCTACAGGAGTGCCGACATAGGCGGATGCGGTGGATTGAGACACAGGCCACGCACAAAAACAGATATCTCTAGTATAAAACGGACAGATTTTGATCGGGATTTTGATGGGAATTATGTTACTTAGATTGACGCACCGGTGCTTCAATAGACTAGTTAAAAAAAACATGTATCTACTGTATTTAAATCAACAGAAACAGGTTGATACAACACTAACTAGTTAGTGGGCCAAACCGTTTGTGATAAAACTGATTGTCTAGATGTCTACTGACAAACAGCACTGTAGCGCCGCCACTTTCCACCGCAGAAGGGCCGACAAAGGCAGATGCGGTGGATTGAGATAATCTCTAGTTTAAATGGACAGATTTTGATGGGGATTTTTGTATCATGTTAATTAGATTTGACGCAAACAGCGCGCGGCTCTTCAGCGCTACGGATTTGACTTGAGCCCCTGGTGTTTCAGTTGTGTCAAAGTGAATAGTTGTTTGTCTGTAAAAAGCACCATTCATCTGAACCACTACCTCTCCCTCTATGTCAGAAAAAATCTAATCAAATCAAAATCAAATGTATTGGTCACACATGCTTCTAGTTCCGACAGTGCAGCAATATCTAACAAGTAATTTCTAACAGTTCCACAACAAATATCTAATACACACAAATCTAAGTAAAGGAATGGAATAAGAATATCTAAATATATGGATGAGCAATGTCATTATCAGAGCGGCATAGGCTAAGATGCAATCGACAGACCCTGACCCTGGGCTGACCTTTGACCCCTGGCTGACAGGGTTCCAGGTCGTAGAGCTAGACGGGTCACTGGTGTAACACCCCTGTGGAGGAGTCATACCCTGTCCACACCACCACCACCCCCCTGTGGAGGAGTCATACCCTGTCCACACCACCACCTCCCCCCTGTGGAGGAGTCATACCCTGTCCACACCACCACCACCCCCCTGTGGAGGAGTCATACCCTGTCCACACCACCACCACCCCCCCTGTGGAGGAGTCATACCCTGTCCACACCACCACCTCCCCCCTGTGGAGGAGTCATACCCTGTCCACACCACCACCACCCCCCCCCTGTGGAGGAGTCATACCTGTCCACACCACCACCAACACCCCCCTGTGGAGGAGTCATACCTGTCCACACCACCACCCCCCTGTTTGGGGGAGTATACCCTGTCCACACCACCACCACCCCCCCGTGGGGGAGTCATACCCTGGGCACACCACCACCACCCTGTGGAGGAGTCATACCCTGTCCAACACCACCACCACCACCCCCTGTGGAGGAAGCATACCCTTGTCCACACCCCCACCCCCTGTGGAGGGAGTCATAACCTGTCCACACCACCCACCACCCCCCTTTGGGGAGTCATACCCTGTCCACACCCACCACCTCCCCCGTGGGGAATACATACCCTTGTTTCCCAACCCCACCACGTGGAGGAGTCATACCCTTCCACACCACCACCACCACCCCCTGTGGAGGAGTCATACCCTGTCCACACCACCCCCACCACCCTGGAGGAGTCATACCCTGTCCACACCACACCACCACCCTGTGGGAGTTCATACCCTGTCCACACCACCACCACCCTGTGGAGGAGTCCTACCCTGTCCAAACCACCACCACCCTGTGGAGGAGTCATACCCTGTCCACACCACCACCACCCTGTGGAGGAGTTCATACCCTGTCCCCACCACCACCCACCACCCCCCCCCTGTGGAGGAGTCATACCCTGTCCACACCACCACCACACCCCCCTGTGGAGGAGTCTTTACCCTGTCCACACCACCACCACCCTGTGGAGGAGTCATACCCTGTCCACACCACCACCACCCTGTGGAGGAGTCATACCCTGTCCACACCACCACCACCACCTGTGGAGGAGTCATACCCTGTCCACACCACCACCACCCTGTGGAGGAGTCATACCCTGTCCACACCACCACCTCCCCCCTGTGGAGGAGTCATACCCTGTCCACACCACCACCTCCAACGGTCAAAGCTACAAACACAACATAGACGAGTCACCTGTGAACCCCCCCCCCCCCCCACCCCCGCAGGGTCATAGCGACCACACACAGACCAACATCTGACCACAAGACCGCCACGATTACAAGCAACGGTCAAAGCTAAGACCACAACCAGAACGACAACTACGACCATGTCCAGGAAAGCCAATGTTAAACAAACCACTATTCACCAAAACTGCTGGTCACCCCCTTTAACAAACCCTTCCCAAAGTTGAACCTCCCCTACTTCTCCCCTACTTCCCCTACTTCTGTTCAGCTACAATTCGCTCAATGGTTTCAGACTCCCTGATCATTGGCTTTTGCCTGGACAAAGACTGCTCTCTCAGCCAATCGGAAGTCTCCCTCCCATTGGCTGCCTGGTATTGTGATGCAATCATTTCCATGGTAATATAGCATGTTTATTCAACTGATGCTAACTAATGTGGCTCATGCAATGGAATGTCTTTTTTTGTAATGCCAGTTGAGTTCATTCAACAAATCACGGCACATCGTGATGGGTACACTTCCTGCTTTTACTTCCTGCTTTGCTTCTATGGTTACACTCGCAATGGCCGCCAGTCCACCCGTTATGCCGTCATAGACTTGAATGGGGACGCCGTTCTATTCATTCTATATCTATGGTATGGACAAACAGTCCATTGGACGCTGGACATATTCAGAAACAGATTCATCGTCTCATTTACAAAACACATTTATTGGACAGATAATATTCTAATATAATAAGTATTATTATTATTATTATTATTATTTTAAACCATAAGTGAGGTGTGACAATTATAACATTAGTATTGTTATCAACTATCATCGTATCAAATGTCTATCAAAAAAAAAAAAAAAGAATCATAAAATACACCGCTGTTGTGACTAAAGTTGAGCTAAAACATAAGTGATGCCGCTGTATTGAATCATTGATGACTAAGTGATGCCGCTGTATTGAATCATTGATGACTAAGTGATGCCGCTGTATTGAATCATTGATGACTAAGTGATGCCGCTGTATTGAATCATTGATGACTAAGTGATGCTGCTGTATTGAATCATTGATGACTAAGTGATGCCGCTGTATTGAATCATTGATGACTAAGTGATGCCGCTGTATTGAATCATTGATGACTAAGTGATGCCGCTGTATTGAATCATTGATGACTAAGTGATGATGTCATCTTTCCTCTTAATGACTAGAGGGAGTCGTTCCTTGACACCGGGGTTAAAGTCTCCGGTTAAAAGTCTGTCACGCCTTTCACAGTGGTCTGTTTGAGTGTGTATCCATCATGGTGTGGGGTCCTTTGTAAAGCGTGTGTGTGTTGGTGTGTGTATCGGCTGTGGTGTGTGTGCGTTGTAAAGTGTGTGTGTGTTGTAGTGTGTGTGTGTGTGTGTGTGTATCCGTTGTGTCTATAGAGGGGATGCATCTCTCCTTCTTCCTGTCCTGGTGGGTTTAGTCTGTTTACCTGGAAGACACAAGGGCTCCTGGTCAATATAATCCACTAACCGTGTGTGTGTGTGTGTGTGTGTGTGTGTGTGTGTGTGTGTGTGTGTAGAGCGTACCTTCAGCCCCTCGTATCTCAGGCAGCAGAGAGGTTCTTAGTTCAGGGAAGAGAATGTCTGACCGGACGATATCAGGTTTCCTCTTCCCAAACGCAGCCATACGCTCACGGTCTCGCTCACGGTCTCGCTCACGGTCTCGGTCTCGCTCACGGTCTCGGTCATGCTCACGGTCGGACAGGAAGGAACGTTCGTGGATCACACTCTTCTCTGATATCATCTGTAGAGGACAGAGAGAAGAAGAGGAGAGGAGAGGAGAGGAGAGGAGAGGAGAGGAGAGGAGAGGAGAGGAGAGGAGAGGAGAGGAGAGGAGAGGAGAGGAGGGGAGGGGAGGGGAGGGGAGGGGAGAGGAGAGGAGAGGAGAGGAGATGATACAGACAGAGGAGGGGGGGTTTAATCTCTACTATCTTGTGTAAGAATATTTACCTGAGCTGTCACACACACCCTTACCTGAGCCATCAGATTGCCAGTGAAATGACTGGAGAGAGATTGCTGTGAGACTCTGTTGAAGATGTTTACATGCCTTTTAGACTTGTCTATCGACCTGGAAACGACAGACACACAAACACATAAACACACAGTCACAGACTCTCTCTCCAGGGCTGGACACAATCAGATCCGCTTTAGCCAACATCCGCACAGCGTTTGTTTTGACGGTGTCGGAGGCGGAAGTGCGTTAGAGCTGTCAAATCCACAAGTGGCTAAAGCGGACATTGCCATTGGCTGGAGCCGCATTAACAGACATCCCAGGCTGCCTTGTTTCCAACTTGGAACACTGTGATATCATCTACACCTCCACCTGGATGATACAAATCCTCATCATTTTGTTTCACGGTTGTTCAATTTGAGCGTCATTATCTCTACATAGCCGGCACTTTCTCGTTCCGGCACTTCTAAAACGAGTGGGGCGGGTGTGGCTTCGTGACACAATGATCACAAGAGCAGCTGCTCACCGATTTGACGGCTCCAACGCAGCTCCACCTCCGACACCTACCGAAACATCCCGCTGTACGGGTGTCTGCTATCGGCGGTTAACGCTTGATCTGATTGAATCCAGGCCTAAGCCTTGTCTATAACCACAGAGAGTTCAGATAAACAAACATACAAACAATAACAAACAAAAACAAGCGTTATGTTCTTCAACCCTGGTCCAACATTCTCAGTGTGATGCATTATGGGGGGGGGGGGCTGTAGTACTGTACCTCAGACCGAGTGTTCCGGGGTGAGGCCCCGCCCCCACTCCGCCCAGGTTGCCGTTGGCTACAAGGCCGTTGCCATGGGTGACGACAGCCAGTAGGTTGTGTGAAGGTGTCTGTATGAAGGTGAGCGCGAGGGGGGCGGGGGGTGGTTTGGGAGGTAGAGGTTGGTCCTGGGTTGGATCGTGTCTGACCGTGGCCGCGCGGTCCTCTACGGTCCTCTCTGGTTCTTCCGGTCTGGGTTTGACAGTGGTAGTATTGGTCAGACTCCTAAACAAAACAGATATAAAGAGTTTGTCCAAACAGGCACCCTACTCCATTTATAGTGTCCTACTTTAGACCAGGTTTACAGAGCTCTTCTTTAGACCAGGTTTACAGGGCTCTTCTTTAGACCAGGTTTACAGAGCTCTTCTTTAGACCAGGTTTACAGGGCTCTTCTTTAGACCAGGTTTACAGGGCTCTTCTTTAGACCAGGTTTACAGAGCTCTTCTTTAGACCAGGTTTACAGGGCTCTTCTTTAGACCAGGTTTACAGGGCTCTTCTTTAGACCTGGTTTACAGGGCTCTTCTTTAGACCAGGTTTACAAGGTAATAGGGTGCCATTTGGGACTCAGAAATTGTCTAAAATTCATTCAACATTGATGTTTTTTTAAAGTAACAGAAAAAGTAATTCAGATTTTTAAATAACTATTTTTAAGAACCGCTAATGAAGCTGAAAGACCAATAAACTAAACGTACATGGAGGTGGTTCGACCGTGGATGACCGTGACCGCATGGTTCCCTGTGGTCCTTTCAGTCTTCTCAGGTCTGGGTTTAACGGCCGGGGTAGTGGTCATGGTAGTGGTCATGGTAGTGGTCATGGTAGTTGTCATGGTTGACTCTATTGTCTTGTCCGGGTCTCGGGGTTTAGACTCCGTAGTGGTTACAACTTTAGAAGGTTTGGTGACTGTTGTACTGCTGCAGTCCTGGAGAGGAGAGGAGAGGAGAGGAGAGGAGAGGAGAGGAGAGGAGAGGAGGGGAGAGGAGAGGAGAGGAGAGGAGAGGAGAGGGGAGGGGAGGGGAGGGAGGAGAGGAGGAGGAGAGGAGAGGAGAGGAGAGGAGAGGAGAGGAGAGGAGAGGAGAGGAGAGGAGAGGAGAGGAGAGGAGAGGAGAGGAGAGGAGAGGGGAGGGGAGGGGAGGGGAGGGGAGGGGAGGGGAGAGGAGAGGAGAGGAGAGGAGAGGAGAGGAGAGGAGAGGAGAGGAGAGGAGGAGTGGAGTGGAGTGGAGTGGAGTGGAGTGGAGTGGAGTGGAGTGGAGTGGGGAGGGGAGGGGAGGGGAGGGGAGGGGAGGGAGGGGAGAGGAGAGGAGAGGAGAGGAGAGGAGAGGAGAGGAGAGGAGAGGAGAGGAGAGGAGAGGAGAGGAGAGGAGAGGAGAGGAGAGGAGAGGAGAGGAGAGGAGAGGAGAGGGGTGTCATTCTGGAAGCCATTTTACATTTTAGTTTTAGTCTTTTGACTAAAACAGCTTTTAGTCTTAGTCACTTCATCCTTCGTTAGTTTTAGTTATTATCAGTCCACTAAATCTCTGGACAACTTTAGTCTAGTCACTGTCATTTTAGTCACATTTTACCTTTAACTTTCATCATGTGCACAGATAGCCTTGTCCAGCTAGGCCTACTATCATTTTTAAAATTTTTTGTCATTTAGCAGACGCTCTTATCCATTGCGACTTACAGTTAGTGAGTGCATACATTTTTTTCAAACTGGCCCCCCGTGGGAATCGAACCCACAGCCCTGCTCTACCAACTGAGCGACACGGGACAGAATTCCCTCCAATACCTTAATAAAAATAATAATAATATGCCATTTAGCAGACGCTTTTATCCAAAGCGACTTACAGTCATGTGTGCATACATTTTTACGTATGGGGGTGGTCCCGGCGTTACAAGCGCCGTGCTCTACCAGCTGAGCTACAGAGGACCACACTGGCAACATGGCTATTCTGACAGGTTGTAACCAATGCCAGCCATTATTAACCATAAAGGCTATAAAGCCAAAGGCTACAGGTTAAACAATTGTACAGCTCTGATTTTCTAAACATCATAACCGTTGGAGGAGGAGGTAAATAACAGTGATTTCTTTAAAAAGGGGAGAATCTGAGCTTTATTAAAAATGCCAGAAGTATAAATCAAATCGAAATCAAATCACATTTACTGGTCGCCTACACAGATTTGCAGATTTTATCACAGGTGCAACAAAATGCTTCTGTTTCTAGCTCCAACAGTTCAGTGATACCTAGCTAAATGCTTGTGTTTCTAGCTCCAACAGTTCAGTAATACCTAGCTAAATGCTAGCTCCAACAGTGCAGTAATACCTAGCTAAATGCTTGTGTTTCTAGCTCCAACAGTACTGTAATACCTAGCTAAATGCTTGTGTTTCTAGCTCCAACAGTGCAGTAATACCTAGCTAAATGCTTGTGTTTCTAGCTCCAACAGTGCAGTAATACCTAGCTAAATGCTTGTGTTTCTAGCTCCAACAGTGCAGTAATACCTAGCTAAATGCTTGTGTTTCTAGCTCCAACAGTGCAGTAATACCTAGCTAAATGCTTGTGTTTCTAGCTCCAACAGTGCAGTAATATCTAGCTAAATGCTTATGTTTCTAGCTCCAACAGTGCAGTAATACCTAGCTAAATGCTTGTGTTTCTAGCTCCAACAGTGCAGTGATACCTAGCTAAATGCTTGTGTTTCTAGCTCCAACAGTTCAGTAATACCTAGCTAAATGCTTGTGTTTCTAGCTCCAACAGTGCAGTGATACCTAGCTAAATGCTTGTGTTTCTAGCTCCAACAGTGCAGTAATACCTAGCTAAATGCTTG